GGAGCCGGAGCCGGAGCTGGAGCCGGAGGCGGCGGCGGCGGCGGCGGCGGCGGCGGCGGCGGCGGCGGCGGCGGAGGAGGAGGAGGAGGAGGAGGAGGAGGAGGAGGAGGAGGAGGAGGAGGAGGCGCGTGCGGAGGGGCGGCCGCATCTCCGCGGAGTCGCTTGCTGTGCGCTCGCCGGCGCGCGCGCGCGGCGTTGGCGCCGAGGGCAGGCGCGCGGGGCGCGCGCGGCCCGCCGCCCTCGCGGGCCGCCCTCCTTGGGCTCCTCGGGGGCCTCCGCGGGCCCTCGGAGGTTCTCGGAGGCCCTCCGCAGGCCCTCGGCAGCTCCCAGAGCAGGGCTGGACCTAAGCGGCGTTTTGGCGACTTCGTGGGCCGTTTTCGTTTCGATTTCGTTTTTGCGGTAAAGGCGTATTGAAGAAAAAACGAGGGAAAACGATAACAAAACGAAAACGCAAAACACCGTTTAGCTTCAGCCCTGTCCCAGAGGCCCTGCTTCCAGAGCCAGCGCGGGCGCGCGCCACTCGCGCGAGGTGCTGGCGGCGATGGTGAGGGGCCTGCCGGACAAGCTGGCCGACATCTACTCCACCTTCGCTGGGCCCCTGATACAGAGATTTCAGGATGGTGGGAGGAGACATGCACCGACAGCCGAAACCCGCTCCCTCGTCTTCGCCTTTGGCCTCCTGCAGGCCGTCGTCGCCACGGCTGGGTTCGCCTCGGACTCATGGTCGGAAAGCGCCCTGGGAGAGGTTCTGGTAGTATCGGTATTGGTACTGTTTGTCCTTCCAGGGCGGAGGCTGTCTTGATTCTCCCCACTCCTCTTCGTCTTCCAGTTCTCCCTCTTCCGTCTTTCCTCCGCCGTCCCCCCTCCTCCCTTCTCCCTCCTCCGTCCTCCCCCCTCATTCCTCCTCGATCCCTAGACGCACGCATAAAGGCTACGTGAAAGATGCGGTGAGCATTTCAAGAAGATTTGGACTACCGATTGGTTTCTCTGTGCGCCAAGGCCCCGAGCACATGGACATACAAAGCTTTCTACTGGGACCCAGAACTCACCGAGAGAGCTTCGAAGCGACGCCCTCACGGTCCGCGACGACGCTGGGCCGAGAACGTGCACTTCGCCGTCCTCCGCGGGAGGCGCCCCCCTGCGTGCGCGCGGTGCGGTGCCGTCGCCTGTTCTGCCCTCTCCCTCCTTCTTTCTCTTCTCCCTCTCTTCTTCTCCCTCCCTCGTTCCTCCCCGACCTCCCTTTGCCCTCGTCCACTTCTCCCACCTCCCTTCTCCCGCCTTCCCGCGTCCTCTTCTGTTCATCTCTCGTCTTTCCTGTCCGCTAGCTCCTCTCTTCTCTTCCCTGCTCCCCCGCGCCGGCTCTCAACAGGCAGGGGAGGGTTGTGCTTCCGATGCTCCCCCACACAGTGCTTGCATTTGGTGGGTCTTACTTGGGCTCCTCAGCAATTGTCTGCGTTTGCCGAGGTCTGCGCACGCTGCCGCCCGTGGGCGCCTCGTGGGCGCCCCGTGCGCTGCGTGGAGCTGCTCAGGCTGCGCCCGGGAGCCGGTTGCCGGCCGCCAGTGGGCGCCTCGGGGGCGTCCCGTGCGCCGCGTGGGCTTGCAGAGGTCTGCCAAGGGGGCGCCTCGTGGGCGCCTCGCGGGCGCGTCGTGGGCGCCTCGCGGGCGCGGCGTGGGTGTGCCACGGGTGCCGCCTCGTGGCCGGTCGGCAGCCGCGCGTGGGCTCCCCGTGGCCGCCTCGTGGGCGCTCCGAGGGCGGCCCCACAGCTCTCACCACGTGCACGGCGTACTTCACACAGCGCGCACCACACATCTTGCACCGCATAGCCGCACCATGTGTGTGTGTGTGTGTGTTGCACCGCACAGCTTACAGCACGTACCTCTCACCGCACAGAGCGCACCGCATGACTTGCACCGCGCAGCCTGCACCGCGTAGCCTACCCTGCAGCCTGCACCAGAGTGCCTGCACCAGGCAGCGGACACCAGAGAGCTCGCGCAGCACAGCTCACACCACACAGCTCCACCACGTGGATGGTACCGCGTAGCTCTCACGCCACAGAGCTTGCACCACAGAGCTCGCACCGTCTAGCTTCCCCGGGGGGCGGCGCGCGAGCGCGAGGCTTGGCGCCCTGGCAGCTCCGAGCCGCTGACCCCGTGGCCCCCCTCCCCAAGGGCTCCCTCGAGGGCGCGAAGTTATTCGCGCTTCGCGCTTCGCGGTCCTCGTTCCTTCTCCCCCTCCTCCTCGTCCTCCTATTCTCCCTTTGGGGGGGCGGCGCAGGGGCGCGAAGTTATTCGCGCTTCGCGCTTCGCGGAGCGCGAAGCGCGAAGTTGGGAGCCCTAGCGTCTAGCTTCCCCGGGGGGCGGCGCGCGAGCGCGAAGCTTGGCGCCCTGGCAGCTCCGAGCCGCTGACTCCCGGCCCCCCTCCCCTTCCATTCCTTTTGCGCCCCGCTCCTGTGCCGGCCGCCGGGGCGCGCCTCGTCGGCGCGGCGGGGCGCAGCTCGAAGCGCTGGCAGGGAACGGGCCCGGCTAGCTCCTCGACGGCCTCCTCGCCGTCGTCGCCGTCGTCGCCGTCGACGTCGTCGTCGTCGTCGTCGTCGTCGTCGTCTTGGTCTTGGTCCTGGTCCTCGTCCTGGTCCTGGTCCTCGTCCTCGTCCTGGTCCTCGTCCTCGTCCTGGCCCTCGTCCTCGTCCGCGCCTTCCTCGAGGAGCTCCTGGGGACCGACCTCGAGAGCGGGTCCTGTGGGCACCTAGATGAATCCGGTTATTTGTGCGTATTAATTTGTGTGTCCCAGGGCCCCTTCAGCGGTGGCGGCCGCTGCAGGCCCCGAGGCTGGGCCTTTTGGCTGCTTCTTGTCTTTCGGGGGCTTCTGTGTGCTCCAGTGGGGGCGCGCATCAAGAAACCATCTGCTTTTCGTCAGGGTATCCTGGGTTTCTTCGTTCCTCGCGCTGCGCGGTGACTTCCCGCGGGCGTTGACGGAGCTGCTGCGTTCAGGGTGCTCCAGGTTTCCCCTCAGGTGCACTTCGCGCACGGGTTCTCAGGGTTGGGTTTCTTGCGAGGGTTTCTTGCGGCCGCCCCCGCATTGTACGGTTGTGGAGGACGATCAACGGAGAGGAAGCATGTTGCCAAACCATTTCCAGATGTCTGACACATGTTTCAAACATGTTTTGAACATGTAAAAGCATGTTGGAACCATTTGTTGAACATGGTTTACACATTTTAAACACATATTTAATTCAATGATCGGATTGTTAGTGTGTCCGTTGTCGTGGCATCCACAATGCTGCGGTTGGGGCGTTCGTTAAGGAACGTGCCCAGGAGGCTTCAGACCCTGGAGGGTTCCTTATCTGATGAGGGCGGCGGTGATATCCATGGCCGATCCACGATTGGCTTCCCACTGGCTTCCAGACCCTGGATTCCTTAGCAAAGGTTTCCTTATCCAATGCTATTATTGTATCCCGCCGATCCCCCAAAGAAGAGATGTGCGGCTTCCGACTCTGCATGCGTTGTCTGCCGCCTCCCGCTGTGCTGCCTGCGCGGAGTTGCTGCTGCCTCGCCCTCCTCTTCCTGCACGTCTGTTGCGATGCTTCCTGGGTGACTCTTGGAGGCCCAGGGTGCGGCATCTTGAAGGCCTCAGGGTGGCTTCTTGGGGGCCTCTTGGGAGCATGTTCGGGGTCTAGGGGGCCATCCGTCAGGGCTCCCTGCGATGGCGTCTGTTGGGCCCGTCCTGTGGCCCTCTCCTGGGCCTTCTTGGCAGTCTCCGGGCTCTCTTGGGGTGCTCTCGGGCCGACTTTGGTCAGTCTTGGGAGCCTCCGGTTCCATCTTGGGTCTTCAGCAGCCCGAACATCGGGGCCTCTTGGGGCCTCTCGGGGGCGTCTTGGGCCGACTGGACGCCATCTCGGGTCTGCTTGAGGCCCCAGCGTGTTTGAGCCCTTCCTGAGCCATCTTGGAAGGCATCTTGGGCGTCTTGGCGGCCATGCCGGGTGGATCTCGAAGTTCTGGGGGCCCGAGAGGTCAGTTGACAAGCTCGTGCCCTCCCACCTCTCGTGGTCTCGGGATTCTGGAGCCCAGGGCATGGGGAAAGGGGCAGGGGGGCAGCCAAACGTCACATACTCCAGATTTCGTAATAAAAGGGAGGGGGTCTGGACCCTCCAAGACAAGCCATTTCAGACCCCCCCCCGTGGGAGAACCCTCCAAAACATCGTCCCCAGACCCCCGCAGGCCCTCCAAGATAGCCTGGAAGAGACCCCCCCCCGAAATGAGACCCCCCTCCCTTTATTACGAAATCTGGAGTACGCCTTTTCACCCCCAGCAGGCGGGGGGTCGGCGGATGGTGCGTCTAAGCTCTCGGGGAAGCGATCCACCGCCTGGGTCTTGGGAGACCGGTTTCCCGAGCGGTGGATCTGTGCAAATCCCAGCTCGCGGACGCATGGCGACTTCGCGGGTCGAGGTTTGCTTTCGAGTTCACCGCCAGAGTGCACCTATCCCCACTGCTTCAGAGCTGCGCCCCAGAACCTCGAGGAGCGGTGGGTAATCCTGTCGGCGCGCAGGCTAGTCAAGTATCTTTGCGTTGTTTTGTCGAGGTCAGCCCGCTGCCAAAGTGGCCTCGACAGTCGTCGGGCGACCCAACCAATGTACGTAGCTGAGACTTGAAGTGCGGCGGCTCCAGGAACGCGAGGAGAGTGTGAAGCTTGACGTCTTCCACACCTTCTCGGAGCCCTCCCCCAGTGAGCGCAAGATGGGAGGAGAGACTGAGAGGGATGCACTCGTATAGCTGTCCTGTACTCGCAGTTCGCATGTACATGCAACGTATACAGATTCCGGCGCAGCAGGCTCGAAGGCTCCTGGGGGGTGACTGAAAAACGGTATGGGGTGGTGAGCGCAGGGAAGGTGAGGGATGATTGAGCCATCGTCTGCAACGAGGTACTGAAACTGAGGTCGGATCCAGTCGAATCCATCGCTGCAAGAACGTTTGGGAGAAGCGGGCGGGAGGGCAATAGTATGCAAGGGCAGGTTGGGGCTGGCGTCGTCTACCGCAGCTGCTGTGGATCCAATCGAATCCAGTCGAATCAATTGGCTGAAGACTGCTTGTGGATCGTATATGTCCGTTGCTCGCAGCCCGTTTGTCCCAAGAGCCGATTCCATGATGCGGACCACGGGCTTAGGAGCGCAGTTCCCCTGCAGGAGTACCTCGCGTGCTCGCGTGCTTTGGGGGCTCGGTCCAATCGAGTCGCTGACACATTGGGACAGCCACGGAGGTGTAGCGATCCAGTCGAGTCGCGTCGTCCGAGCGGTCGTGCAGGCAAGACGCGGAGCTCTTCCCCCCCCGCAGCATCTGTCGCCCCCGATCCCCTCGCCCGAGCGGGCCTGGTGGGGGGTGCTCTTCGGGTGCCTGCGCATGACCTCAGAGGCTGCCCCGTGCGCCGCCCGGCCAGCGCACGGGCGGGTCCCCGCCACAGAGAGGGGACACAGAGGACGGGGAGGAACCTCGGAGAGTGACAGGAGCAGGGGGAGGCAGAGGGAGAGGAGGAGGGGGGAGGGGGAAGGAGGATGAAGAGGAGGAGGAGGAGGAGGAGGAGGAGGAGGAGGAGGAGGAGGAGGAGGAGGAGGCAAAGCAAGATGAGGAGGATGATGAGGAGGACGATGACGATGCCGATGACGACGGTGATGACGATGATGACGGTGACGACGGTGATGATGGTGAAGACGGTGATGATGACGATAATGATGATGATGATGATGATGATGATGATGATGATGATGATGATGATGATGATGATGATGATGATGATGATGATGCTGGTGATGATGATGATGATGATGGTGATGATGATGCTGATGATGATGATGATGATCATGATGATGATAAATATGATGACGACGATGATGATTATGATGACGATGATGATGCTGATGATGCTGATGGGGATGATGATGATGCTGATGATGATGCTGATGCTGATGCTGATGCTGATGCTGATGATTATGATGATTCTGATTCTGATGATGATGATGCTGATGATGATGACGATGGCGTCGGTGGTGATGACGGTGGTGATGATGCCGACGCCGACGACGACGAAGAACATGACGATGATGATATGATGTTGATGGCGGTGCTGATGATGCTGCTGATGATGATGAAGACGACGATGAATCTAATGCTCATGGTGACGGTGATGACAGTGGTTGTCTTGGCGGTGGTGGTGATTATGATGATGATTGTCAATGTGATTCTGATGATGTTGACGCGGATGCCGCTGCTGCTGATGATGATGACGATGTTGATAAGGAAGTGCGGATGTGGATGATGACGATGATGATGACGATGATGATGCTGATGATTGCGCTGCTGCTGATGATGCTGATGATGATGACGATGATGTGGACGACGATGACGCTGACGATGACGACGGTGATGACGACGGCTATGATGATGATGCTGATGACGGCGACGATAGTGATAAGGATGATGATGCTGATGATGATTGTGATGATGACGATGAGGATGAGGATGCTGCTGAGGATGATGCTCATGATGATGCTGGGTAACACGATGGCGAGGATGTGGATTATGATGATGATTATTGCGGTGATGACGATGAAGATGATTAATAACACGATCATCATGCTGGTCATGCTGATGATGATTATGATGACGACGACGATGTTGTGGATGACGATGACGACGGTAATGACGATGACGATTATGATGAAGGTGGTGATGATGATTATGACGATGGCGATGACGATGCTGATCATGAGGGGGGGAAGGTGACAATGACGATGAAGATGACGATGACGATGATGATGCTGATGTTGATGATGATGATGACGATGATGTCCATGCTGACGATCACGACGATGCTGGTCTTGAAGAAGAATACGACGCCTGTGCTGATGATGGTGATGGTGGTGGCGGTGGTGGTGGTTGTGGTGTTGGTTCTTGTGGCGGTGGTGGTGATGATAGTGGTGGTGGTGATGAGGAGGGTGGTGGCGATGATGATGAGGATGATACTGGAAATGAGGATGAAGATGACGATGATGATGATGATGATGATGATGATGATGATGATGATGATCTTGATGATGATTATGCCTATGATGATGCTGATGCTGCTGATGATGATGTCGACGATATCTGTGAAGACAATGATTGTGGACGATCTTGACGATGCTGCGGATGATGACGATGCTGACAATGACGATGATGATGGCGATGCTGCTGAGAAAGATTGTGCTTATGATGCTGCTGGTGATGAGGACGATGACGACGACGAATACAAAGCCGGTGATGACGACGATTATGGTCTGAGGATACTGATGATGATGACGACAATTGCGAGGATGATTGTGCTGCCAATGCTGCTGATGGTGACGATGCTGATGATGGTGATGCTGGTGGCGATGATGCTGTTGATCATGATGGTGATGCTCCTGCTGATGATGATGGTGATGCTGATGGCGAAGACGACGATGATGACGATGGTGATGATGCTGCTGCTGACCAGGATGATGCTGATACTGATGCAAATGATGGTGCTGATGGTGACGGTGATGTCGATGATGGCAATGATGATGCTGATGATGATGATGGTGGTGATGATGCTGATAATGATGATGTTGTTGATGGTGGTGATTCTGATGATGATGATGATGCTTGTGTGAACTTTCTTATGATGATGAGACTTGTTGCTGATGACGATGATCAGGATGATGGTATGAGGATAACTAACGTTATCATGCCGAGGAGAGTACTGTAAGTGGTTGGTGATATGTGAGGAGCGATGGTCGAAAGAAGGATGAGGATGCGATTGATCAGGAGGGATAGGATAAGTGACAAAAGCAGGGGGACAGGGAGAGCAGGCATTTCCGACGACTCCGCTGGGACCTGTAATCAGGGTATGATGTATGAGAGAGTGGAGAGCAGATCCGCGAGGCAAATGAGGATATTAGGGAGGAGTATGATGATGCTGTTGGTGATGGTGATGATAGTGATGATGCTGCTGCTGATACTGATGATGATGATGATGATGATGAGGAGGAGGAGGAGGAGGAGGAGGAGGAGGATGTGGAGGAGCAGGACGAGGATCGGGGTGAGTAGAAGAGGAACAGAAGGTTGAGGAGCAGAACCAGGAGGTAAAGGATGAGGAAGAGGGAGTTGCGCGGTGCAGGAGATGGTGCAGACGGCCGTCATCAAGAACATAACCACCGCTGGCGCGCATTTCTGTTGGCCCATCATGCTTGCTGACATTAGAGGGTATTCTGCCAGGCAGTGCAGCTGAACTAATCGTGCTACCTGTACAATTGACTGCCCTGCTTGGTTGGATGAGCCGTCGCGCATTGTTTTGTCGAGGGTCACATACACCCCTCCCTCCAGCGGTCATTGGATACGAACGAACAAATCACTCCAGAGTTTCGGCTTGCCCACCGAGCGTGCGAGAGGGCTCCGGAACGGCCGCTGCGACCCAGACATCCACGAGTTGTTCGTATCCGATGTTTCTTGTATCCTGTCCTCTTTGCGGGACGGGAAAATGACCACAGCCACTGCTTCTTAGTTGCGCCGCCGTCCAGCCAGCCGAAAAAGAAGCAGTGGTTGTGGTCATTTCCCTCATGCCGAGCTTAACGAAAATGACCACAACCACTGCTTTGTTTCTGCTGGCTGGAAGGCGGCAACAGAAGAAAAGCAGTGGCTGTGGTCGTTTTCACGTCCCGTACTCTTCTTGCCGAGCGTCACATCGCGAGTGGCCTCAGCTCGGCTGGCCCAGGGTGTAGATCGGGCGGTAAGCGGGTCCGAACGCAGCAGGGGCACGGGCGGCCTCGGCAGGGGCAGCTGTGCCCGAGCGCGACGGCTCGACTCTGGAGGGTGAGAAGGAGGAGCGCGAGGAGGAGTGGGAGGTGGAGGAGGAGTAGGGCAAAGAGGATGAGGATGAGGAGGAGGACGAGGAGGAAAGGAGGAGCAGAAGCACGAGGAGGAGGAGGAGGAGGCGGAGGAGAGTATAGGCGGAGGAGGAGGAGAAGGAGAAAGGTGAGGAGGAGGAGGGGGAGGAGGAGGAGGAGAAGGAGGCGGAGGAGGAGGAGGAGGAGGTGGAGGAGGAGGAGGAGGAGCAGGAGGAGGAGGAGGTGGAGGACGAGGATGAGGATGAGGATGAGGAGGAGGAGGAGGAGGAAGGGGGGGAGGGGGGTACGATGATGATGATGACGATGATGATGCTGATGATGATGATGATGATGCTGATGATGATGATGATGATGATGATGATGATGATGCTGATGATGATGATGATGATGATGATGATGATGCTGATGATGATGCTGATGATGATGATGATGATGATGATGCTGATGCTGATGATGATGATGATGATGGTGGTGGTGGTGGTGGTGGTGGTGGTGGTGATGATGATGATGATGATGATGATGGTGGTGGTGGTGATGACGACGACGACGACGACGATGATGATGATGATGATGATGATGAGGAGGAGGAGGAGGAGGAGGAGGAGGAGGTCTGTAAACACCAGTCGGCGCACGCACTCGTTGACACGTCGAAGTGCTATGAGGTCCCTCATTACCTGTTGGCACATGCTGGAGTGAAGCACGGCCTTCGTGCGCACCGTCTTAGGTTCCTACTCACACTATATCGAGACAGGCGCTTGTTGCAGTTCGACATGCGACATTCCAACATGTTCGTGGAGTGAGGTATACTCGCGGGTGCTCTTTTGCCATGTTTTTTATTGACGTGCTTGACGAAGCGGTGCGCCTGTACCCCAGCATTTTCCTCTACAACGTTGTAGATGACATCACCATCGGGACCGTGGGCAAACGCAGACATGTCATCCAGATGGTGCTGGGGGCTACCAGGTTCATCTGTGTCCAGTTGGAGCCCTTGGGGTTCACCATCTCGCCCACGAAGGGCATCGTCACGGGCTCGTCGGCCCAGGTCGTCCAGGTCATTCGCATGGGCCTCAAGCTGTGGGACTTCAGGGGCTTGGGGGGCACGAAC